ATGGACCTTGAAAAATATTATTTAAAAAAATCCACGCTTATTACCTAGATTGTCCTTGAACAATATTATTTAAAAATCCACGCTTATTGCCTAGATGGTCCTTGAAAAATATTATTTAAAAAATCCACGCTTATTGCCTAGATGGTCCATGAAAAATATTATTTAAAAAATCCACGCTTACTGCCTAGATGGTCCTTGAAAAATATTATTTATTGCCTAGATGGTCCTTGAAAAATATTATTTAAAAAAATCCACGCTTATTACCTAGATTGTCCTTGAACAATATTATTTAAAAAATCCACGCTTATTGCCTAGATGGTCCTTGAAAAATATTATTAAAAAAACACGCGTATTGCCTAGATGAGATGGTACTTAAACTTAAATTAAAATTATTTAAAAAAAAACTCCACGCTAATGGCTACGATAGTCCTTTAAAAAAATTATTTAAAAAATCCACTATTATACCCTGAGATAGTCCTTGAAAAATATTATTTAAAAAATTCACGATTTATTGCCTAAATGGTCATTGAAAATATTACTTTGAAAATCCATGCTTTATATATTTTTTATCTACTAATATATTAACTTTGCACACACGAACTCCTTGCCAAGGACATTGTTCACCAATAAATCAATTTTCTTCCCAAAATTAGCCATTGGACAAATTGTAGATAAATTTGTCAATCGTTTAAGGCGATTATGGCCAATTGACTGCTACCTTGACAAATAATGAATTATCCGTAAAAGCTTCAATTGCATTGCTACCTTAAGATTAACAAGATAAGGAGATCGAATGCTTGGGAATGTTTGTGGGATTCCGTGTGTGTACTGGCGCCAATTATAGCTTTAATGACGGTGTGTGCGTATCTTTGGCCACTAACAAATGTAAGTAGCCATTAAATGAAGAATCCATTAAGCTATAATGTTATGTGGCAATGGCATTCGGACAGATCCGCATGTGGTAAAATGCTGGTGTACAATAAACTTATATTTGTGTTATCCTATAAAGGGTTTTGAAATTTGAAATTATGCATGCCCATATACATGTGTGTGCTCGCTATCATACTCTTAGAATTTGGCGCCTCAAGTTATGCTATAAAATTTCTAATGCATTACGCCACAAATTGCACAATTAGCATCAGCGTATCCAAACAATATTACCTTTGAATAGATGCAAGGGTTTTGCTTATGAAATGTTCAAATAACATATCTCAAGGACTATCGTAGCCATAAGAGTGAATTTTTAAAAATTTTTTATAGTATTTTTTTAAGGATTTTTAAAATAATATTTTTCAAGAACTAAGAATGGATTCGATTTTTTAAACAGTATTTATACCCTTCACCACACTGTGGTACAGGGTATTATGTCTTTGTGCATATGTTTGTAACAGGCAAAAATAATCGAGATAGACCCATGGTTCCTTTTGAGAATATGCATAGAATCACTTTCTGAGTCGATTTATGCATGTCCTTCTGTCCGTCCGTCCGTCCATGTATTTTTGTTAACAAAGTACAGGTCGCATTTATGATCCGATTTGGATGAAATTTGGCACAGGTCACTTAATTGGCCCAAGGACGAACCCTATTGAAATTGGAAAAAATCGGTCCACGTTTAGGCATAGCTCCCATATAAGGGTACCCCAAAATTTTCGGTATTTTGAGGTTCTTGAGCGCGTTTTTTAACTGAATTCGCTGAAATTTGGTACTTTGAGTTCTTATTGGGTAGCAAATCTCCCTACCAAAAATTATAAATAAAGGTCAATTTTTTCGGATAGCCCCCATATAAGATTACCCCCAATTTTCGGTATTTTGGGGGTTCTGATCGGATTTTTCGACCAAATTGACTGTAATTTAGTACGTCGAGTTCTTATTAGTTAGCACATCTCTCCACTATAAATTATAAATATTGGTCAATTTTTTCTGGTAGCCCCCAGGTTTTGAGGTTCTTAAACCAAATTCTATTTTCTGGTACAAGGTAGTATGTTTTTGTGCATATGTTTGTAACATGCAAAAATAATCGAGATAGACCCATGGTTCCTTTTGAGAATATGCATAGAATCACTTTTTGAGTCGATTTAAGCACGAAATTTGGCACAGCGTAGCAAATTAGGTCTAGAATGATGTGTGTAGTTTTCCTGAAAATCGGTTCAGATTTATATATAGCTCCCACATATACTTTCGTTAGATTTAATGTAAATGGTGCACCAAAGTCCCTATATATCTTTCGATTTGCACGAAATTTGGCCCAGCGCACAGTGGGTTAGAGTACCATGTTTTCTTGGATCAAATCAGGGAAGCTATGTTAGAATAATTTTTCTTTATTTTTCAGTTAATACCATTAAAATAAGTTAAAAAAATGTTTTCTAAGTATATTTGAGTATAATTTTATTAAGTAATGCCAAATATCAGTGTAGGTATATAGTGCAAGGAGTACAATATGATAACATAAACATTGAATTTTATATATCTTAAAGTTAATCATCCACATCATCATCATCCACGCAGCCAGGGATGGTCCGTATGACGAATTTTCAGGTTTTCGACTGTCAAAAAGGTGTAAACGTCGAAAACGTCATATACCTGTATAAAATGTAGTAAACGTCATTTATTTCAATATTATCACCATATACAGTAATTTTCAAGAACATATATTATTTTTACTGAATATATGTGGCTATTCTTTACTAGAACTGATAAAAAATTCTGAACTTTTTTAAGAAAAAAATTTTGAAATTCGATAAATGTAAATAGCTATTTTATCAAAAACCTAATGGTTTTGAGTGGGTTTCCGACGTTTCTGACGTATGTATTATACGTCGGAAATGTATGTCATTTACGTCACTGTTTCTGACAGGCCATCTATGTCCGCAGCATCACCAACTTCTGATAATTGCTCAATATGTAAAAGGGCATTTGACACAATTTCGGATCCGTGAATAAAAAACTCGTGCAAAGTGGTAGGCATATTATACCAAGGATACGTTTCAACAAAAAGTCGTCCTGTATTGTGTGCATATATTTGAAATTTTTCACTATTAATCTTATGGCCACTGGATACAGCTATAACCGACACGTGAATTGTTTATTAAATTAACATCTATTTTTGTTATTTCGGTAGATTTTTTTAGCGTTTTGGTGCGTTTTTTTTTTATTTCTTTAGCTAAAAATGTCATCTTGTCATTCATTGTTTGAGGGCTCGAATTTACCATAAGCTTCGACGATCATAAAAAACAACTTTCGAACTTGTACCTATAAAAAATGCTAATAAAGAACCCTTTTACCCGACTACTTGAAACTGCACAACACAATTTGTCAAAACAAAGAATATTATTAAAATAAACAAAAACAAAATATTATTGTAACAAAGAATATTATTAAAAGTTACAAAAATAACAACAATAAAATAATTAGAAAAAATAACATGAAAAATAAGAAAACACAACACTCAACAACAGCACCAGTCACGAGATCAATGTGACTTTTAGCTAATTTGACTGCTGCAACACTTGTATTAAACAATGCATAGCTTCTAAAAGGCACAAAAGGGCAGCGTAAAATTTTGCAATATAACACAGATTTATGTCCTCTTTAATATAAACCAAAAATTATGACACGAATGTGGACGAATAATAACTATTTATCCATTTAAAATATAAAAATATTAATTTTTTTGGCATTTTCAATATAAATAACTACATTTAAATCACTTCCAAACACAATTTGATACTAAAATGTTAACGAAATATTTGCAAAATAACCTGAACTTCATGGTTCCATTGAAAAATGTTTAACTTTTACAATACTTTTTAAAATAAATAAAATTTTCTACGGGAACTTTTTCACTTTTTTCAGCCTTTTTTGGCACAACAATTTCTATAAAGTTTGACTTTGAAGTTTCACTACAAAAACACCAGACCACTTTTGACATTTATTTTAACGACAAGTGTTGCAGAATTTTATATACTGTAACCGGGTGCAAAAAATTTTAATGATACATAAAATTTTATTTTTTAATTAATCCAAGAAAACAGGGTATTCTAACCCACTGTGCAGCGTAACAAATTAGGTCTAGAATGATGTGTGTTAAGTTTCCTGAAATCGGTTCAGATTTAGATATAGCTTCTATATCTGACCAAATGAACAATTTAGTATCGGTTGCAGAATGACGTGTTTATGGTTCCAATTTCATTTTACTGTTCCTATAAAAATGCGACTTCTGTTAGGATTCATCTGTTGAATATACTCAAAGTGGTGAAGGGTATCATATAGTCGGCCCCGTCCGACTTTACTACTTTCCTTACTGGTTTTCATTGTTATCAGTTACTTCTTCTTCCAATATTAAAAAATGCAGATGACCGTGTCGTCGTCCATAGTTATTAATACTAAACTATTTCTCAAAGTAATTAAAACAGCTGTTCAAAGTCAACATTTTCAATATAAAAAATTACCAATAGTGTAAATTAGCTTCAAAACATTTTGATCAAATTATTTTGAAATATATTGAAATAATATTTTGATCAAATTTTTCGAAACGTGTAAATAGGACTTCAAAATACATTTGTAAAATTTTAATAACACTTCAAAATGCCTTCAATCGTGTAAATGTAGCTTAACTCAAGTGTGGATTTTTTAAGCAATATTTTTCAAGGACTAATTCAATCGTGAATTTGTTAAATGATATTTTTCAGGGACTACCTCAATTATTAGCGTTGAGTTTTTAAATCCTATTTTTTGGGGACTACCTCAACTAAAAGCGTTGATTTTCTAAATTGGGGTTTCTCCTTGCCACATTTTACCATGACATATGTCTCAAATAAATGTTCTGAACTCTGTTAGATATTTAGAATGTTCGTCTCATGGTGAAGGGTATTAAATGTTCGGTCCGACCGAGCTTAACGACATTTTTCTTTGTTATTTTTTAAATAATATTCAGTATTTTTTGTTTTAAAAATAATTATTATTTTTTTTCTTTTAATAAAAAAATCACAATTACAACCACATTACAATATCACACATTTTCGCTTCTTTTTTCGATTAAAACTATCATTATTACGATAATCCAGGCCACAACTGACTGCAGCATTAAATACATCCGACACCCCATAAAATTCATCATCCATTGCCGAACATTCAATATAATAGGTGGCTTCAATCATTTTCGCCATTCGTCGACCCTGTTCTTTGGTTACACACCAACGTCGCGGTGTCTCTTGTATCGCATTACGCATATCCACTTTAGTTGCCACCAAAATAATCGGTACCGATCCTGGACAATGTTCACGAATTTCCGGTAACCATTTTAGATGAACATAACACAAATCATCCGGACGATCTACACTAAAACAGATAACGAAAACATCCGTGTTCGGATAACTTAGACGATTTATGCGATCAAATTCCTTGGCACCTTTTGTATCGCACAGCAATATATCCAGATATTCACCGGTCATGCATTGGGCCTTTGTCAAATAGTGACCACACGAGAACAGTGGTGGCGGTGTATATGTTCCGTTCAAATAGGTTTGGATTAGTGTGGTCTTGCCCACATTTCCATTACCCAATATTACACATTTAATTGGTAACATTTTGTTGCGATCCTTCCTTCATGTTTATTTTTTGTTTAACAACTGATTTGAGATGATTCCTTCGGCTATGAATTAAGTAGAAACACTGAATGATTAAGATAAAACATTGTTCTTGAAACCCAAATAATGATTCATTAATTATTATAAATTATTTTTAAAATAAATATTGTATCTCAATACCGCAGAAATGGTAATAATAAATCAACATCAACGCGAATAAGACCACTAGGAAATGGAAGTCATGTCGGTAAATTACGATATACTAGATCAAAAAAAGTATAAAAAGTAATATTTTTAAGGCAATAATCTTGAATTTGTTTAAATAAATTATTTCAAATACTATCTAAGATAATCATTTTTTAATAACTTTGGCAAATTACCTCAACTAAAACGTTATCCAGGCATAGGTGCAGATATTTTTGTACCCTCCACCATAGTATGGAGGGTATACTAATTTTGTCAATCCGTTTGTAACTCATCGAAATATTCATTTCCGACCCTATAAAGTATATATATTCTTAATCATGGTAAAATTCTAAGACGATCTAGCTATGTCCGTCCGTCTATCTTCTGAAGGAATTAAGATAGGGTGCAGACATTTTGCACAGGTTTGTCTTTTGTCTGCAGGCAGTTCGAAGATGGGCTTTATCGGTCCACGTTTAGGTATAGCTCCCATATGAGGGTACCCCCCAAATTTCGGTATTTTGGGGTTCTTGAGCGCGCTTTTCAACCGAATTCGCTGAAATTTTGTACATTTGGTTCTTATTGGGTACCAAATATCTCCACTAAAAATTATAAATATAAGTGCATTTTTTCTGGTAGCCCCATATATGGGTACCCCCAAATTTAGGTATTTTGAGGTTCTTGAGCGCGTTTTTCAATCGAATTCACTGAAATTTGGTATTTTGTAGTAGTATATGATAACAAATCTCCCAACCAAAAATTTGTTATATTCTCCCGCTTCTAAGGGTAGTTCCCATATAACCCACTTTTTATACCTCTCACCATACTGTGGTACAGGGTATTATGTCTTTGTGCATATGTTTGTAACAGGCAAAAGGAAACGAGATAGACACATGGTTCCTTTTGAGAATATGCATAGAATCACTTTCTGAGTCGATTTATGCATGTCCGTCCGTCTGTCCGTCTGTAGATGTTAAATTGTAAACAAAGTACAGGTCGCATTTATGATCCGATTTAGATGAAATTTAACACAAGTCACTTATTTGGCCCAAGGACGAACCCTATTGAAATTGGGAAAAATCGGTTCAGATTTAGATATAGCTCCCATATATTTTTTCGTCCGATTTAAGGTAAATGGTGCACCAAAGTCCCTATATATCATTCGATTTGCACGAAATTAAGCATAGAGTACTGAATTAAGTCCAGAATGATGTGTGCTAAGTTTCGTGAAAATCGGTCCAGATTTAGATATAGCTCCCATATGTATTTTCGTCCGATTTAAAGTAAATGGTTTTCCAAGGTCCATAAATATCCTTCGATTTGCACGAAATTTGGCATAGCGTACTGAATTGAGCCTGGAATGATGTGTGCTAAGTTTTGTGAAAATCGGTTCAGATTTAGATATAGCTCTCATATATATATATATATATATATATTCGTCCGATTTAAGACAAATTGTGCACCAAAATCCCTATTTATCATTCGATTTGCACCAAAGTCCCTATTTATCACTCGATTTGCAATTTTGCACAGCGTACTGAATTAAGTCTAGAACGATATGTGTTAAATTTCGTGAAAATCGGTTTAGCTTTAGATATACCTCCCATATATATTTTCGTCTGATTTAATGTAAACGGTGTACCAAAGCCCCTATATATCTTTCGATTTTCATGAAATTTGGCATAGCGTAATGAATTAGGTCTAGAATGATGTGTGTTAAGTTTCGTGAAAATATTTTCGTCCGATTTAATGTAAAATGTGTCGTCCGATTTTACACAAAATTGACACAAATTTTGCACAATGTACTGGAGTTAGAATAACCTAGAAGTTGGATATAAGTGCTTCACCAATGTGGGTCCAATCGGCACAAAACTTTGCACTACGTACTGAAGTTATTATAACATAATGTGTGGCAAATTTAGTTGAAATCGGTTAAGTTTTAAATTGATTTACATAATTTTGTCCCTGGTCCTTTAAAAATTTGACGTCTGTTATGATTCAATCGTTGGATATACCCAACGTGGTGAAGGGTATCATATAGTCGGCCCCGTCCGACTTTACTACTTTCCTTACTGGTTTAAATTATACTTTTCAAGGACTAACACAAACGTGGATTTTTACTTTATATTTTTCAAGGACTAACTCATGCGTGGTTTTTTTTGTTTAATAAAAATTCTTTTAATAAAAAAATCACAATTTTCTTATTTTTCTTCTTATTATTATTTTCTTTGTTCGTTTAACACATTTATTGTTGCGATATTCCAGAGTACAACTGACAGCGGCATTAAATACATCCGATACTCCACAAAATTCATCATCCATTGCCGAACATTCAATATAATAGGTGGCTCCAATCATTTTCGCCATTCGTCGACCCTGTTTTTTGGTTACACATCATCGTCGCTGTGTCTCTTGTATCGCATTACGCAGATCCACTTTAGTTGCCACCAAAATAATCGGTACCGATGCTGGGCAGTGTTCACGAATTTCCGGTAACCATTTTAGATAAACATAACACAAGTCATCCGGACGATCTACACTAAAACATATAACGAAAACATCCATGTTCGGATATCTTAGACGATTTATGCGATCAAAGTCCTCGGCACCTTTTGTATCGCACAGCCAGATATTCAGAAATTCACCTGTCATGCATTGGACCTTAGTAAAATAGTGACCACACGAGAACAGTGCTGGATTCATATATTTTCCGGTCAAATAGGTTTCGATTAGTGTGGTCTTGCCCACATTTCCATTACCCAATATTACACATTTAATTGGTAACATTTTTTTGGAAGGATCCTTCATGTTTATTTTTTGTTTAACAACTAATCGGAGATAATTCCTACGGCTATGAATTCAGTACAAACACTGAATGATTACGATAAAACATTATTTTTGAAACCCAAATAATGATTCATTAATTATTATAAATTATTTAAAAAAAAATTATTTAAAAAAAATATTGTATCTCAATACCGCAGAAATGGTAGTAATAAAATTAACATCAACGCAAAAAAGAGCAATAGGCAATGGAAGTCATATTGCGATACACTAGATCCAACTACATAAAAAACAATAATTTTGGATTTTTTACATAGCTTGTTTCAAATAAGCATTTTAAAATAATTTTGGTATACCAACTCAACTGAAAGCGTTGATTTTTTAATAATATTTCTCAAGGACTACCTCAACCAAAAAATATTAAACAATATTTTTCAAGGAGTAGAGGAGACTGGGGCACTTTCGGCACTTTTTGTTTAGAGCTCTATATCTCAGTATTTTTAAATAATATTTTTCAAGGACCTCCTTAAGTAAAGCCGTGGATTTTTAAGTAATATCTTTCGGAGACAACTTCAACTAAAAACGTATATGTTTTAAGCAAACAATACTAAAATCGTGCATTTTTTAAACAATATATTTCAAGGACTATATAGGCTACGTTGCACAAGGAGAATTATACTTAGTTAACTGGCATTTGACAAAACATTTGTTCCATAAGCTTAAACAAGATTTCCAGGCCCGTCGGTCTTATGCGCAGCTCTTCAAATTTGAAAGACCTTGTTCCGAAATGTTTGCTTCCACTTGATCTTTCCATGAAATTCGTGGCCTTCCCCTTTTACGTGAACCATCAGTTGGCTCGCTGTTATATGCCTTTTAAGCTGGGGCATCCTCGTCCGGTCTCACAATATGACCTAGCTAACGTAGCCACTGCAACTCGATACGTCTGACTATGCCGTTCATTCGACGGCGATATTCACCGTCGGAACAGATCGGCCTATAGATTTCGGAGAATGTTTCTCTCAAACACTCCAAGAGCTGCCTCATCCAGCACGGAACAAGGATAGAGAAGTGCCATGTGACCTTTTAAACATCTTGCTGAAAAAGGTCATACGAGATACAAAGGTGAACAGAAATGACACTCTGTACACTAAATAGCACATGTTACTAGCATACGCCGATGGCATTGGCATAATAGGTCGAACATTGCGAGCGGTAACAGCCACCTTTGAACGAATTGAGGAAGATCCTACCAAAGAGGTATTGTTATACCCTACACAACTATGTTGTCAGGGTATTATAGTTTGTAACGCCGCGAAATATTGGTCCTAGACCCACCTTTAAGTATACCGATAGTCATATCTCGACTAGCTGAGTCGATCTAGACATGTGTGTCCGTCCGTCCGTCTGTCCATTATAATTTGTAAACACGATACAGGCCACAGTTATGGACCAATCTTCACGAAATTTTCTGGCCAATGAAGACCCCTATTGTTTTTGGAAAATATCGGTTAATATTTAGGGGATGAAATGGACCAAAAACTTTATTTTTGTCGGTTTTTCTGGTCGCTCCTGAGGCCGCAATTATGGCATTTTTGCACGGAGAAGCGGATCGGGTCAGAGAATAAGCATGCATGTTTTGATAAAGATCTGTTATTATTTAGCGGGTCAAATGGACACCGACTTTTGTGTGAAAAATTACAAAATTTGTATTCTATGGCGTATATGTTTACTCCTGAAGGACATCGACCCAAGGTGTTGATAGTATATCCAAGAGGAGTGGTTGACCTTTAAATTGATACCAATTATATTGTCGTATGTACTCGGATGTGGGAGATACACGTAAATATTTACAGGTGTAAGTAAGTAGAGGGGCTGTTCTGATTACTAGCCAGTCAAAAGTGTGCAAATATCGCAAAATATTGCTCAATCTGAAAATAAAGAACCACAGAAAGTTAAATTTTCATGGAAGTTGTGTAGGGTATCATATGGTCGGCCCCGTCCGACTATACTGCTCCTCTCAATGGTTAGTAAATGGCAAAAAGGCAATGCTGATTGTATCAACGTGCAAGACGTCCAGTACACCAACTGTGGAACAACATCGAGTTAGTCAAAGATTTTATATACTTCGTTACCGCAATAAATAGAACTAATGACATCAGTTTTGAAATTCGGAGGAGGATAGTGTTGGCCAACAGATGCTACTATGGTCTAAGTAAGTAATTTAGAAACAAGGGCACCTCTCGCCAGACCGAACTCACAATCTACAAGACCAAACTCACACTGTCTTGTAGAGTGTGAGTTTGGTCTGCTACTGCCCTGTAGGCAGTAGCAATGTAGAACATCTTCGGGATATAGCAATTCGCTCATCCACTGCAGTGAATCTGTAGAGAAGATCTTTTATTCTCCTGTTAACAATAAATCGGCCGCCAAATTCATGTCTCGTTTCATGACAACTTTAATACAGTTCGTAATCATCTGATTTATTTACGCCTGTCCCTTTTGGGGGTTTGTTTTTCTTTTTAGTAGTTTTCTCATGGCACAACTAACCAGACTCCTCAACCCATATTTTATAGTTTTTAGGGGTGAATTCGCGGCACGTATCAGCTCACTATTTCAACGGATGTTGAAAGTAGCTAGATCAGGCGGTACAGCGGGAAGGTCAGTGTCCACAATTTTGATGAAAGAGGGACAATGATAAGTCTGGGCTTTGCAATGTTCAAGCCAATCAGAGCCTCAAGTACCCTTCTGATATTGACTACAACCCACTTACTCCAATAATTATTTTCATCATGACTAAACCACCACTCTCTTCTTGCGGTTTCATATTTATAATTCTATTCATAAATAATTCCCACAATTGAGTAGCATTTTACTAACGAATGGCTCAGTATGTTTGCTATGCCATCGACGAATACCAAAGAATTCCGACTAAAATTCTCATTTCAAAGCAAACAAGAAAAATGCCACCGCTTATCAAGTGTATTGTACTGGGCAATTCGGGTGTCGGCAAGACCAGTCTTATCAAAGCCTATATCGATAAAACCTATTGTCGTAATCCGCCACCGACAATGTATGTCGAATATGCTGTGAAAACCACAACCTCCAAAGGTCTCTACAGCAATTTGATATTGTGCGATACAACCGGAGTCGAGGACTATGAGTGTGTTAAACGTTTATGTCATCCCAATTCGGATGTAATCCTAATTTGTTTGTCCATATTCGAGGAAGATGCTTTGGAAAATATTCGTGATAATTATCTATATGATATTCGTATGTGTAGCCCTGATGTTCCGATTGTTGTGATTGGTACTAAAATCGATTTGCGTGATAATCCGGCGGCGTTAAGTAAATCGAAAGAAAGAATTCTATCATATTTAGAAGGTCAGCAGATAGCCGAGGCAATTGGTGCAGTGGAATATTTGGAATGTTCAGCGTTGAGGGGAACTGGTGTTGCGGATGTGTTTCAAACTGTAGCCACTTGTGGTTTAGAATATCGTCAGAATTGTGATAAGCGGAAGGCGAAGGCTAAATGCTGTGTGTTGTAATGTTTGTTCGAAATAAATAATTTTTTTATAAGTTTTAAATCATATGGAAATAAGTGTTGCGGGTTTTTGTTACGCTTGTAATCTGATTGTTTTTTTAAATAGATGTATGAATCTTTTAAAAGCTTCTGCCATCGATAGAAGTCTTGCAAAGACTTCTTTAGTCGATAGAAGGCTTCTGTGGTCGATAGAAGACTTTCAAATGCTTCTGTTACCAATAGAAGTCGTCGGAAGAAGGCTTGCAATGACTCGTGTTTGAAACTAAGTAAATATATATAGTAATATTCGAGATCATCGGAAATTTTATTAAAGATGTAAGTTTTGAAGTCTCTGTATGGGCTACTGTCGTTCTTTTCTGTCATTTATGAAGGTGATTTAAAAATAAACGTCCTCGTCGATAGAATACCCTTTGAAGGCTTCTATGGTCAATAGAAAAATGTTAAAGGCTTCTGTCGTCGATTGAAGACCCTTTAAAGACTAATGTCGTCAATTGAAGACCGTATTTCTGTCGTCAACAGAAGACCCGATAAAGGTTTCTGTCGCTAACAGAACCCTGTAAAGATTTCTGTCGTCAAAAGAATCCCGTAAAGGCTTCTGTCGTCGAAATAAGAGCCTTTAAAGTCTCTGTGTGTTCGTGTAAATATAAATAAATATGCAAAATCATCGAATGTTTTATTAAAAAAACAAATTTCTGTATGGGCATCTGTCGGTTTTCTTTCAAAAACAAAGTCCCTTGTCGATAGAAGACCCTTCTGTAAAGGCTCTGTTAAATAAATAGGTCTCTAGTATAAAAGTAAGATTTGAAGTCTCTGTATGGCATTCTGTCGGCGTCCAGTCCCTCTAAAGGCTTCTGTCCTTTATAGAAGGTATGTAAAGCCTTATGTAGTCGATAGAACACCTCCCAAGGATTCTGTTGTCGAAAGTTAAACAAGGAGTTTCCTTTATAGAAGCTCTATAAAGGCTTATGTAGTCGATAGAACACCTCCCAAGGATTCTTTTGTCGAAAGTAAAGGAAAGGAGAGGAAATGTTTAACATTTAAATTTCTGAAATTCCATGCGCACCGGATGGCATAGAAGTCGTTACGTACGCGGATGACTGTACGATCATGGCGTCAGGACCGAACAATTATGCGAGAAGCTGAACAGCTATCTCGTAGACATAGCTGATTTTTTCCGAACGAGGAATATGCCAACTTTCCGCCACACTGTTTGTCACATGTGCAGGAAGATGCGACTACCTTTGAATGTGTATGTCGATGAGTTCACAATTCCGACCACCAATTACTTCAAGGTGACCCGCAACATTCGATAACCTCTATAAATCGCCCGCATATGCCTTAGCTATTAGCGAAAAGTTAAGGAACAGGGACAAGATTCTCAAGTTACTATCCGGCAGGGGAACTGACAAAGAAACATACACAGCAATAGACCAGTCTGTGGTAAACTATGCGGCCCCGGTGTGGTCCGCCATTGTTAATGCAACACAATGGAATATATTCAATCCTGCCAGAATGCTGCCCTGAGTACTGCAACAGGGTGTCTCTTCATGACTCCGATATACCACATGTATGAGGAGACTTCCTGCGTCAACACAACAGGATGTTGTCGATGCAATTAAGAGTACCTTCAGCTTGTCTATAAAGGTTACTTGCCTGTAAAGATTTTCTTCAGTCCATCCTAAGCCTACCTAAGTTGATTTATTAAGATTGAATTCTCCTTAGATTAGTTTTCTACAAAGACATCCTTCAGAGCGCCTGAAAAATAAAGCGTTCACTTTTATATACCTCAAAATAATTTCACATTTTGTGGGCCCATCCTACTATACTAATTTCATTAAATTTATTTAAATTGTTAACACAAAATTTAAAACCACAAAAAGTACAACAACAAATTCTATTTACTATGCACATAAATTTACTACATTGACTTGAGTTATTTAAATACTTCGTCAATTATGCGGATTTCGAGTGTCGTCATGTATATAGTATGTATGTTTGCATATGTGATTCACCGGTCATGTATACTATTTGATATAAGAGTAAATAATATGTGCTAAATGTACAACAAAAACAAACAAAAACCAGTAAGGAAAGTCGGACGGGGCCGACTATATGATACCCTTCACCACTATGGGTATATTAAACAGGACCATTAGAATGAAATTGGATGAAATAAAATATGTGATATTTATCTAAATGTGAATCTACCTAAATCTATCCATAAAGTATGTAAATCGACTTCAAACAAATATAAATAGGTCATCCGTTGGGCTATGTCTGTACTTCTAGAAAACGCAACTATATGAAACTTGGCAGACATCATTCTAGGCTCAATTAAGTACGTTATCCCAAATTTCGTGCAAATCGAAGGATATATAGGGACTTTGGTCCACCATTTACATGAAATCGGACGAAACTATATATGGGAGCTATATCTAAATCTTGACAGATTTTCTCGAAAGTTGGCAGACATCATTCTAGGTTCAATTCAGTACGTTATGCCAAATTTCGTGCAAATCGAAAGATATTTAGGGACTTTGGGGCACCATTTACATGAAATCGGACGAAACTATATATGGGAGCTATATCTAAATCTGGACCGAATTTCTCGAAACTTGGCAGACATCATTCTAGACTCAATTAAGTACGTTATCCCAAATTTCGTGCAAATCGAAAGATATATAGGGACTTTGGTGCACCATTTACATGAAATCGGACAAAACTATATATGGGAGCTATATCTAAATCTGGACCGATTTTCATCAAACTTGGCAGACATCATTCTAGGTTCAATTCAGTACGTTATGCCAAATTTCGTGCAAATCGAAAGATATATAGGGACTTTGGGGCACCATTTACATGAAATCGGACGAAACTATATATGGGAGCTATATCTAAATCTGGACCGATTTTCTCGAAACTTGGCTGACATCACTCTAGGCTTAATTCAATACGTTATGCCAAATTTCGTGCAAATCGAAGGATATATAGGGACTTTGGTGTACCATTTACATGAAATCGGACGAAACTATATATGGGAGCTATATCTAAATCTGGATCGATTTTCACGAAACTTGGCACATATCATTCTAGACCTAAATGATTAGGCTGCACCAAATTTCGTGCAAATCGAAAGATATGTAGGGACCGTTTACATTAAATCGGTTAAATATATATATGGGAGCTATATCTAAATCTGAACCGATTTTCCCAATTTCAATAGGGTTCGTCCTTGGGCCGAATAAGTGACCTATGCCAAATTTCATCCAATTCGGATCATAAATGTGACCTGTACTTTGTTTACAATTTAACATGGACAGATAGACAGACGGACGGACGGACATGCATAAATCGACTTAGAAAGTGATTCTATGCATATTCTCAAAAGGAACCATGGGTCTATCTCGATTATTTTTGCTTGTTACAAACATATGCACAAAGACATAATACCCTGTACCACAGTGTGGTGAAGGGTATAAATAGTATAAAGAAATCAAGTACACTGTAAGAAATTATTGTCAGGTGTATAGCTAACTCAAAAAAAAATTAAATTCGTAAGCGGTCATTTTGAAGCATTTGCATTTTTATTTCAGTTTTTTTTTTAATTTGAAATTCAGTTTCAAATCACAACCCACCCATCAAAAAATTCCACCCCTTAAATAAATCTCTCAGTGTGCCAAATATAAACAAACCATTTTTCTTACAGTCAGCTCAATATGCCCTTGGCCTTGGTCACTACGTGTCGAATTAGGAAAACAATAACAGTACTAACACAACAAACATTCTTGTAGTTCTTGTTGTCGTTGTATAGTTGACGACAACTATGCGATACGACACGGAATTGCAAAATAAACTCTGGTGTGTGGACTCCACACGCTATGGAGGGACATAGACATGAGGTAAAACGATTTCCAGTGTTTTCCTTTCGTCACATTGGTTTAGTGTACATTTGCAATTTTGTTTGGTTGTGTGTATGTGTCCTGCTTCCTATTTCCTTGTTTTGGTGTCTTCCTTATACAATGTTTACACATAGACTGTATGTGGCAGATTGTCCATTTCATAGAGTGGTGTAGTAAAGAAGAGTGAATATTGAGAAAAAATTATTACGCTGCGGATTTATGGTTAACAGGAGAATAAAAGGCCTCTTCTCCAGATTCACTCCAGTAGATGAGGGAATTGCTATAATCCGTATAAAAGCGATGTTTTTCTACAGTCTCATTTGCGCCTATGCTCCGACCAAAGATAAAGATGAGCCGACCAAAGACATATGTTGCGAGCTCCAAGAAACAACATATGACCGCTGCCGTGGCCATAACACTAAAATTCTGCTAGGAGATTTTAATGCAAAATTCGGAGGGGAAATATTTTTTACCCGACCGTCGGAAAATTCAGCCTCCGACAACGTCATGAGGTTGATTGACTTCGCGGCAGCAAAAAACATGGTAGTTAGCAGCACCAGATTCAAGCATTAAGATATACAAAAGGCCACCTGGATTTTTCCCGATCAAACAACGAGAAATCAACTTGATTATGTTGTGATAGACGGATTCGATTCGGACCATTACCTTGTAGCAAGGTTCGCACCCGTCTTAATGTAGCAGCAAAGGTGCGATCTAACACAACACGGAAACTCAACGTCGAATAGCTGCAAACACAACAGATAGCTGAAGCCTACTTACCCACTTGCTTGACGAAAGCACTTCATGTCCCGATAATAATATAGAAGAAAAATGACAAAGAGTTGCAGCAAAAGCAACACTTGGGTACCAAAAATCACCATCAAGAAACCCGTGGCACGATCAGGAGTGTCGTAATGCTACTGGGCTCAAAAACGCAGTCTATAGGGAAATCCTGCAAACAGTGGCAACACGTAGAGAATTATCGAGATAAAAATAAAGAGAAAAGAAGCGTATTTTCAGAAAAAAGAAGAAAGAACAAGAAATACGTGAGCGTGAGCAAGGTCAGACGCTAATCAGGAGCATACACCAACTGATTAATACAATTTTACTAGAGGTATACATGCACAATGATTAGAAGCTCAGAATCCTGTGACCCGTACACAAAAAAGGAAACAAGACGATATGAGTCAACTATAAAGAAATTAGTGTTCTTCCATCGGGTATAAAGTGATATGCAGCGACTGAAGTCAATGGTCAATGATATTATTGGATCTTACCAATGCGGTCTATAGCAAATCCACTATAGACCAAATTTTAAATCCTAGAAAAGACCCACGAAAAACACATCGACACATTCCACTTATTCGTCGACTATAAAGCCGCATACGATAGCCCTATCCGCTGAAATGTGTTTAAAGCCATGTCTGCGTTCGGCATTCCTGCAAACTTAATGCGGCTATTCACGATAACTTTAACTGGCACAAGGTCAGCAGTTAAAGTCGGAAAGCACCTCAGACAGTTACTTACACAGAAAGTAGATATGGAGTTTTCTGAAGATATGTTTTTCAAATTAAATCGTATGTACAAATATATGTCGGAATGATCAATGATATTATTGGATCTTACCAATGCGGCATTCGACAGCCCTATCCGTTCAGAGGTGTTTAAATTCCTTCCAAAAAAAATATGGCTATTTAGGATAACTTTAACTGGCACAAGATCAGCAGTTAAAGTCGGAAAGAACCTATCGAAGCCCTTCAATGCAGAACGAGGATTCAGAAAGGTCATACGAGATGCAAATGTCAACAGAAATAGCACTCTGTACACCAAATAGCACATCTTACTCGCCTACGGCGAAAATATCAAGCTGATGGTATCAACTCGCAAGACGTCCAGTAGACTCGTACCAACTTTGGATAACTAATACTACCCGTGCTTTTGTATGGATCTGAAGAATGGGTACTTCCACAAGCAGATGAGGCAGCTCTTGGTGTGTTTGAGAGAAAAATTCTCCGAATGATATAGGGGCCGATCTGTGTCGACCGTAAATATCGCCGTTGATTGAACTATGAGTTGTACCATCAACTCTCCGACATCGGCATAGTCAGACGTATCGAGCTGCAGCGACTACGTTGGCTAGGTCATGTTGTGAGAATGGATGAGGATGTCCCATTTCAAAAGGCAAATAAAAGTGAGCCAACTTATGGTTCACGCAGAATGGAAAGATCATATCGAAACATAAGCTTTCAAATGGAAAAGCGCACAAGACGGGAAATCTTTTTAAACTCTGCTTATGGAACAAATGGGAAATATCAGGTAGAAGACAGCATATCAAAACATGGGTTTTCAAATTGGAAAAGCTGTGCACAAGATCGTCAAGCCTGGAAATATTTTTAAAATCAGTTTATGAAACAAATGTTTGGTCTCGAGCCACATAAGTATTCAGAACAAATCGGTCATAAATATATACAAGAGCTTTATCTAAATCCGAACCCATTTCGTAAACGGTCAATTCTGGCCTCAATCTGATGATGATGGAGTTCTAGAAATGCATACGGAACTTCATTGAAAACCCATCTCGATTATTGAAGATCATTTCCACATTACTTGCTGCATTAACTAGCAAAATATTCGCATCTGGGGCTCAGAAAATCCGAGTGTTATTCTATTGAAGCCCTCTCCATCTACTACTTGTGTCTCCATGTTGAATTCTATGATCCGTCTGGGTCATTGAACTTTACATTTTCAATAATGAGGTGGGATCAAAAGTTACATTGAATGGATTACAATATCGAGATATGCTTATTTTTTCTATGGTCCAAGTTGGATCAGAGCAAGTTTTCGACTCTTTTTCTCTTGGATCATAGTTGACAACAGATATTTTGTGATTCAAGACCAATCTGAAACATAATATCTTCACCAATAGCCGTGCATCGATACAAGACCCCAAATATAGAATTCGTAGGACTATCGAGAGTTTAGGGCAGCCACTTTACGATTTGGTTATACAAAATTTCATGAAAAGGTTATGGTCCCCCATGAGTATATATTAAATTTGTCACTCTGTTTCCAACATTTCGTAACATTAATCATAAGGTATAGACGAAACTTAGTACATATTGGAACGTTTATAGAGAACAATTCAATAGATACAAAAGTGAAATTCAGAGGGCTAAAAGTAGATCTTGGATTTGCTTTAGTGAATCAATCGAAGGAGGCCAGATTTCGCAGAGTAATATTTAAAGATCCAAAATCGATTGAGTATAATGTCATGTTCAAACGGACAACCGAACAACTCGTCAGTCCAATTTTTAGTAATTTTTAAGACTTCGGTAATGGTAGAGGTTATAAAAATTTCGTCCCGGCAGAACTTAACGATCTTTGTACTTTATTTATAAATACATGTCCTTGAGATAATTTTATCTAAAAAATCTAACTTCCACCCGACCTTAATTCCCATACCCACCTCATTTTCCTTTACTCATTCTTTATTGCAAATACCTATTCTGGTAGTAAATGTAGTTTTGATTGCCTGAAATCAATATTTGCTTTTGATACTTGCCATACGTATGTACGTACATGCATTGTTCTGTCCAATACCATTCTGTTTGTTCTCATAGATCTCATGTCGTATTTTATTGGTTTTTATTATTGTTCTTCCCCTGGTGCCTTGCAATGAATGTATTCTATAGACCAAACAATTCAGCCGTAACATATGCAATAAGTGTTAGGTTTTCCTTTTTTTGTGTTGCATATCTTGTGGAGGAGGCGAGATAGTAGTTTTGCGTGATGTCGATTGGCCATCACTAGGAAGTGTGTAGGTGTTGGAGAAAATGGCAACAATTTTTCAATTAAATGGAAATTTGATTGATTGCAGCATTTTTTCCTTTCTCCTCGAGTTTTTTTCGGTAGCAATTTCTTCTTGTTTTTCATTCTCCTCGTTTTTTTTATTTGCGGAACTTCGACAGTCACTTCTGCCTGTTTTCAATTCTCATCTTTTATTGTTTTGCGGAACTTCGAGAGGCCCAATTGCTTGTTTTGTATAGATAATAAGGGTGGCATATGGAAGAATTTAGAATTTACATGATTTTTTTTCTCTGTTAATATTTGTAGAACGTGTGTAACCTAATTTCGGATTTTTTAAATACTGTGTCATAACTGTTCTGTTATTTCTCTTAGGTTGAAATATTGATAACACTTCCACTCCATACTTCTCTTAATGTTTCCCTCATATCAGTTAGCTGGCGAGATAAAATTCACTAATCAGCAATTAATTGCTACCTTGATAAAGTTCCGACCCAGGTTCTCTGAGATAAGAAGTACACCGTTCTCTCAGTTGACATTCACTTTTCAAAACATCAAAACAAGACCACAAGTTACCTACCATTCAATGCGTCGAATAAAATGTGTGGCTCTCGGTGACGGCTGTGCGGGCAAAACTTCCCTGCTGCGGACATATGTCGATAAATATTTCCTAGACGAATATCCCACAACAAGATATGATGAATATCAGACTCAGTTTCGAACTCCAAATGGCACTCGAGTCAAGCTGATATTATGCGATACTGGCGGCTGGAATGTACAACCCTTCAACTATACAGATGCTGATATATTTCTCTTGTGTTATGCCATCGATGAACCGAACGCCTTCGAAAATATACGTGTTCATTGGTTACCCGAGATACGCCATTATTGTCCGGATGTGCCAATATTGTTGGTGGGTACAAAAATTGATTTACGTCATGATTTGGAATTGTTGCGACGAAAACATCTGCATAAATTGGCCATCGTTAATGAAGGAGTTAATATGGCCAATGAAATTGATGCCATTAAATATATGGAGTGTTCAGCAGTTCGGGGTATTGGAATTATTGAAATATTTGAATTTGTTGTCTTCTATGTGATGGAGAAAAGAGCGAATTGGAAGGATGGAGATGGGCAGAATGAGAAATGTTTACTAATTTAGATATGGATTTTTTCGGGAATATACTATAATGAACGAATTTATTTTTTAATTAAATAATAAAAACAATAACAACAATAATGTAAATAAAACATTGTTATCTATAATTTGCGGTAAACCGTGTGTGTATAATAGAGTGGGTAGAAAGAAAAGTTTTTTTTAAGGCCTATAGAGGCAAGAATATTTTTATACCCTACACAACTATGTTGACGGGGTATTATTGCTTTGTGCGGCCCAAAAGTTTGTAACGCCGCGATATATTGGTCCTAGACCCACCTTTAAGTGTAGAATGGGTTCTAACCAATGAAGACCCCTATTGTTTTTAGAAAAGATCGGTTAGTATTTAGGGGATGAAATGGACCAAAAACTTTATTTTTGTCAATTTTTCTGGTCGCTCCAGAGGCCGCAATTATGACCCAAACAAAGCGAAATTTGCACGGAGAATGGATCGGGCCAAAGAATAAGTATGCCAGGTCAACTGGCCCCTGACTTTTGTGTGCAAAATTACAAAATTTGTATTCTATGGGGTATATATTTGCACCTGAAGGTCCTAGACCCGAGAAGTTGATAGTATATTCAAGAGCAGTGATTGACTTTAAATTGATACCAATTATATTGTCGTATGTACTCGGATTCGGGACTCAAACATAAATATTTGCAGGTGCTTACGTATTCATATATTATTTAGTAACCCATTACCACACTAGAGGGCGGAAATATAGCGCTGATCGCTTTGAAATAGTCCATGAGGTTCAAGTTATGGTCACCGACAACGCCTATAATTTTTGGTGATGATCAGATAATAATTTTGGGATGAAATGGACCGAAAACTTATTTTTTGTTTTTTTTTTCGAGTCGATTTATTTCGAGTCGGTGAAGGGGCTGTACTTAATATTTGTAAAATTTGTTGACCTCTAGTCGGTCAAGAGGGTGCAAATATCGCGAAATATTGCCCAAGCTCAGAATATAGAACCACAGAAAGTTATAGTTTCGTGGAAGTCGTTTACGGTCGGCCCCGTCCGACTATACTGCTCCGCTCATTTGTTTCGAGGCATATGGATTCGTGAATTTTTTGAAAACTATTTCATGAAGGCTTAGGGAGACGAGGATTTTTTAAAGAATATTTTTCCAAGCCTATGGAATTTTTAAAGAAAAAATTTCCATGGCCTATGGTGGCGTGAAGTTTTTAAAAAATATTTGTTCAAGGCCTATGGAAGGGTGGATTTTTTAAAGAATATTTTTTCAATGCCTTTAGAGGCGTGGATTTTTTAAAGAATATTTTTTCAAGGCCTACGAAGGCGTGGATTTTTTAAAAAATATTTTTACAAGGCCTATGAAGGCGTGGATTTTTTAAAGAATATTTTTTCAAGGCCTATGGAGGCGTGGATTTTTTAAGAATACTTTTTAAAGGCCTTTGAAGGCGTGAATTTTTAAAGAATATTTTTTAAAGGCCTTTGAAGGCGTGAATTTTTAAAGAATATTTTTTAAAGGCCTTTGAAGGCGTGGATTTTTAAAGAATACTTTTTAAAGGCCTTTGAAGGCGTGGATTTTTAAAGAATACTTTTTAAAGGCCTTTGAAGGCGTGGATTTTTAAAGAATATTTTTTCAATGTATAAGGAAGAGTGAATTTTTAGAAAAAAAATTCAAGGCCATTTGAAAAATATTTTTTGAAGGCCTATGGAAGCGTGATGTTTAAAAATATTTTTGCAAAGCCTAGAAGACGTGAATTTTTAAAAACTGAAACGGATCAACTCTATTTTAATTCAAATTATGTATTTTATTTACGATAATGTAAAGACATAGCACATTTAACATTTAAATATTTGAAAATAGCGGTTACTTATGTAGATAATCTGTAAATAGTACCATAAAATTACATCTCTGAATCTACTACGTTCTTATACAACCAACACTAGATTAGAATCTCGCTTCTCAAATGTAGTACTTAAGCAAACCCAAATTTCAATAAAATCGCTACATTCTTAGTCCGGACTGTCCGACCCTAATTCATTTAGCGAATACTGGAGGCTTAAGATCATTAACCACGCTTGCTAAAGTTGATGGACTCAGATCATAAGCTGAAAGCAATTCCTAAACAAAGAGTAAACAGTTAATCTTGTAAATCTTGTTGTTTCGGTTGAAAACATACCAGCTCCACTCACGAGCTACTTTAAAACTATTTTTCCAAAGATTAGAGAAGTGTGGGTTTTTAAAACATATTCTTTCAATGCCTAGGAAGGCGTGAATATCCTTCAACAATATTATTGGCATAGGTTTATTAGTAATATCCCCTATATAGCGATCCCGGCCGTTATTTATTAAATCACATTTCTTAAACGTCCTAAAATCACTTGCTGTAGTATAGTTTCGAATGGGGTTGGAAACGTCATTTCAAGTAACTGTCAAGAATGTTATATTTTGACTGGGCCGAAGTTAACGCCTTCACTTGTTATACCCTTCACCACACTGTGGTACAGGGTATTATGTCTTTGTGCATATGTTTGTAACAGGCAAAAATAATCGAGATAGACCCATGGTTCCTTTTGAGAATATGCATAGAATCACTTTCTAAGTCGATTTATGCATGTCCGTCCGTCCGTCTGTCTGTCTGTGCATGTTAAATTGTAAACAAAGTACAGGTCGCATTTATGATCCGAATTGGATGAAATTTGGCATAGGTCACTTATTTGGCCCAAGGACGAACCCTATTGAAATTGGGAAAAATCGGTTCAGATTTAGATATAGCTCCTATATATATATTTTACCGATTTAATGTAAACGGTCCCTATATATCTCTCGATTTGCACGAAATTTGGTACAGCCTAATCATGATAGGTCTAGAATGATATGTGCCAAGTTTCGTGAAAATCGGTCCAGATTTAGATATAGCTCCCATATATAGTTTCGTCCGATTTCATGTAAATGGTTCACCAAAGTCCCTATATATCTTTCGATTTGCACCAAATTTGGTATAACGTACTGAATTGAGCCTAGAATTATGTCTGCCAAGTTTCGTGAAAATCGGTCCAGATTAAGATATAGCTCCCATATATAGTTTCGTCTGATTTCATGTAAATGGTGCACCAAAGTCCCCATATGTCTTTCGATTTGCACGAAATTTGACATATCGTACTGAATTAAGCCTAGAGTGATGTCTGCCAAGTTTCGAGAAAATCGGTCCAGATTTCTATATAGCTCCCATATATAGTTTCGTCCGATTTCATGTAAATGGTGCCCCAAAGTCCCTATATATCTTTCGATTTGCACTAAATCTGGCATATCGTATTCAATTAAGCCTAGAGTGATGTCTGCCAAATTTCGAGAAAATCGGTCCAGATTTAGATATAGCTCCCATATATAGTTTCGTCCGATTTCATCTAAATGGTGCCCCAAAGTCCCCATATGTCTTTCGATTTGCACGAAATTTGACATATCGTACTGAATTAAGCCTAGAATGATGTCTGCCAAGTTTCGAGAAAATCGGTCCAGATTTAGATATAGCTCCCATATATAGTTTCGTCCGATTTCATGTAAATGGTGCCCCAAAGTCCCCATATGTCTTTCGATTTGCACGAAATTTGACATATCGTACTGAATTAAGCCTAGAGTGATGTCTGCCAAGTTTCGAGAAAATCGGTCCAGATTTCTATATAGCTCCCATATATAGTTTCGTCCGATTTCATGTAAATGTTGCCCCAAAGTCCCTATATATCTTTCGATTTCCGCGAAATTTTGCATAACGTACTGAATTGAGCCTAGAATGATGTCTGCCAAGTTTCGTGAAAATCGGTCCTGATTTAGATATAGCTCCCATATATAGTTTCGTCCGATTTCATATAAATAGTGCACCAAAGTCCCTATATATCCGTCGATTTGCACGAAATTTGGCATAACGTACTGAATTGAGCCAAGAGTGATATCTGCCTTGTTTCGTGAAAATGGGTTCAGATTTAGATATAGCTCCCTTTTAATTTAGATTGATTTTAAGTAATTGACGCACCAAGGAACCAAACGTTCTGAAATTAGTATAACCTAACCTGTGACAAGTTTGTTTGAAATCGCTTAATATTTGGACAGAGCTTCCATATATATTTTTTGCCCGATTTCAAGTAAATTGGGCATCAAACTCCTCATGTTAGTCAGATTGACATCAAATTTTGCACAACTTACAAAATTGAGCATAGAATTACGTAGTTGGGTTTTGTAGAAGTACAGACATAGCCCAACGGATGACCTATTTTTATTTGTTTGAAGTCGATTTACATACTTTATGGATAGATCTAGGTAGATTCACATGTAGATAAATATCACATATTTTATTTCATCCAATTTCATGTTAATAGTCCTGTTTAATATACCCATAGTGGTGAAGGGTATCATATAGTCGGCCCCGTCCGACTTTACTACTTTCCTTACTGGTTTTTATTTTCGCGGACCCTGGGACATAACTGTTAGACATGAATTATTTTCTTATTTACATTTTGATAGTCCCTAATTCAGTGTTGAACAGAATTAAATTGAGAGTAAATGTGTGAGACCGTAACTGAGAGATTATCATCAAAAATTTCTGACGAAAAGAGAAACCAGTAAGGAAAATAGTAAAGTCGGACGGGGCCGACTCTATGATACCCTTCACCACTATGAGTATATTGAACAGGACTATTAACATGAAATTGGATGAAATAATATATGTGATATTTATCTAAATGTGAATCTACTTAGATCTATCCATAAAGTATGTAAATCGACTTCAAACAAATATAAATAGGTCATCCGTTGGGCTATGTCTTTACTTCTACAAAACGCAACTACGTAATTCTATGCTCGATTTTGTAAGTCGTGCAAAATTTGATGTCAATCTGACTAACATGAGGAGTTTGATGCCCAATTTACTTG